ACCAATGCGTGGAAACTTGTTACCTTCGATTTATGGTGGATGTTTGTGAGTAGTGTAAATTTCGAAGAAAGTAGAAGCCACGATTAAAATTCACGCACAATAATATGCCTCGACGGGGAGTCGAACCCCGGTCCACGAATTTCCGGTCCGCTGCTCTACCAACTGAGCTACCGAGGGCTGACGATTAGGTGCGCAAATTTTAACACATGTCTTCTGCTTGGTGCGCGACGTGTTGCCAATAAGCTCACAGTACCTGTCCTGATGTTGCAGATTGGCTCACTCACCCGTCACTTCCCAATAGACCGAAGTTCCTGTCCTTCAGACGTCTAATGGGCGATGGTAGATTAATGGTGGATGTTTGTGAGTGGTGTAAATTTCGAAGAAAGTAGAAGCCACGATTAAAATTCACGCACCTAATCGTCAGCCCTCGGTAGCTCAGGTGGTAGAGCAGCGGACCTTCGATTTACTCTATTAACTGCCACAGTGCTCGAAACATCGTCATCAGAGCTATCCACCAACCCCGGAATCGCACTTATAATACGTCGATCAAGGGTGTTACGGATCAATTTATGACCCATTGCTTAACCTTCAGCCGTGCCTTTAATTCACATCAGGCGTCAGCTTTCAACGTCCACCGACTTCGTCGACCACGCCAATCGATCAACCGAAAGATTTGCCCATTCGGCCGTGCGCACGCGCAGATAGACACACACGCACAACTTTGCGACAAACATCGTCTCATTGCTGAACTTAGCAGCCTGCATCCGTAACGCGCTGCGGTTTTGTCGAACAATCCGCTGTTACTGCCCTAACCAAAATCACCCTCTAAAGGCGGACGCACAACTTGATCGTTCAAGGCTGCAGCAGGCCAACTAATCAGAACGGTGCCTCCTTCCTATATTTTCTTCGTTACTCAGTCACCTTTCAAGTAGTTCAGCTTTATTGGCATCTGTTCATTTCAGTACTACTAGCTAGTAGACCCTACTGAACTCAGTTTTGTGAGCATTGTTGCCCTATTCTTCCCACACGGTACTTGTTTTGCCTTTAAGCCTAATTGGTAATGGACCTGACAAAGCCCAGTCGTGTTCGACAGACTACGGGCAATGCATATTTCACACCGCGAATCACACATATAAAAAACAAGACAATAACTGAACCACAAGTTTGCTCCACTCCAAACACTTATGTCCTCTCAGAGCTCACTGATAAAATCTGCTCATCGGAATCGCAGCTTGCTGAAATGCAAAGGGCATTAACACTTATTGAACCTAACACAATTTCTCTATTATCTTTGGACTGCATTAGTAACCCTACGGACAAAACCGATGCAACACTGCTGAGGAAAGCAGGACAATTAATTGCCCCCATTGCATCCGAGGTACACTAGCGATCTCGCAGGAAGAACAATGTGCTTACTTTTAACACACCACTGCAACGTGCACTTCTTACTCTTGGTCATAGTACACTAAAGAAAGACGATACTCGGGAAAAAGGATGCCCGTTCACCAAGTCTCTGAATAAAAGCACGCTAATCGGAGAATCCAGAGCCTCTGGTGTGGACCTCGATAGTTGTTATGTCGCGTTAGCTACACTGGACACTAGGGCATTAGATCCTATCGCGAAACCCACTGTGCATCCAATGATCAATGCCGAAACTCCTGATCCTGACACTAGTCTTCCCAGTCACTCTATCGCTATCGACATACTGGCTTTACAAAATTCTGTTGGCCAAAAAAGTTCTATTAAAAAGCGGTCTTACAGTATAAGCTTGACACCCTCAAACCTCAACTGTTTCAAATTATTGACGGCTGATACAAAACATATTTAAGTACGGAAAAATCGACAGTTCCTAAGGTTGTGCGTTAAAACCCCCTTACTACCGTAACCCTACTCGCCATCCTATCTCGAGCGTAGCCAGAGCCACCTGTTTCTTACCTAGCACTATTTGTCAACTTTCACACTAACATCACTGTGTTTCGTCTTCGGACTGCTACAATCGTAAACAATGAAATAACTACCTAAATATTACTAAACATCCGGGAACAGCACATCCTGCCAGACCCCAAACATTCATAACCCCTCACAATTTACCACCGAACTACAATCCATTTTTATTAGATGCGGGAGTGGTACCACAAGCACTCTCATCATTGATACATCCAATAGAAGCAAACTGTTCCTACAGTTTATACACATAACACGAATGAATCATTAACACTGCAGGAACACCTCAGATTTCATGCGTGAACCCTCTCTTTTCAACCAGCAATGCCAATGATCCGGATTGGAAACACGTCAACTTGCTTGACTAAATTAGAGACTGCATCTGCCCTTTTCATATCTGTATTCAATCTCTATGCCACATGTTTGAACCACTCCATTCTCAACCCCACCAAATCTTCTTAATAATCCTCCTAACACGCACCTGCCGTTTTCCATACTCCTGATCATTGCTAGATCTATTAACAACAAACTTCATCTCGGCAATTTTTGAGAATATCCGTAGCCCGGTGTATGGATGAGAGGGTTATCCTGTTCTCCCAGCTGGGTAGTTCTCTTGCAGATGTTTCGCAACCAAGTTAGACAAGATCCTCAGTGTGTCTCTTAAGTCATGATTCGCGGAGTCGCAAGCCACTGCAAGATCCGGATCTATCAGCGTTGCCCGCTGGAGATCAAGATCTCAAACGACTTAGGTACCACCGTTCCGACAAGTTACTCATCCTGAGCAGCTCCCACACTTTTAGTGAAAAGTCTAGTGGATCCAATTTTATGTGCGTGAAATTTTCGACCCGACTCAATGATGCACTTGAACCTTACCGATACCTCTCACCCCATTCCGGAGGACCTCTTTGCTCCGTTTATTGGAAGCGGATTCTTTGCCAAGCTTAATCTTGCAAACGTCTACCCACTAATTGAGGTATTCGTAGATTCCACAAAACCGCTTACTATTAACGCTTATTGAGGTCTTTTTCAATACGTCAGAATTCTTTTGGGGGTGAAGACTACCCCCATCTTTTTCAGCGAATAATGGGCCAAGGGTGAAACACAGCTGAGGGACCGGATCGTTAATGTCTTGTAGCGTGCACATTAATTCTGGTTTTTTATGATCCGAAAAATGTCACTTCATATAAATCCACCAAATACCTACCTTATATTTTTGCCAAAAATGGTCACCGTCCGGGACTAGGGATAATAACGGCGATCCGGAGCATGCGAGGCCCAAGACGTAGCAACAGTTCAATTGTCTCTCGGGATACTCTAAATGGATAAACGGCGTTGTCAGATTAAAAGAGGGGGAAGGCAGTGTTTCACATTCAGGTCGGTTAAAATCTTTGGGTCCGTCAGCAAAATCCGCTTGAATTACGAAAACTTCAGATAACCTACCCTTCTAACCATCGGGTATTCCATTGGAAATGCTGTTGGATACGTTCAAAGTTCCCGTGCAATTACTAGCGCGCAGATCGCTATTAGTCAGACCATTTAACTACCGGATGGGGTAGAGCTGAACTCGGTTGCATATTCGGACTAAGCTCACGCTGTGACCTCGACGTACGTAATCTGTGCAGTCGGCTCCGGTTTACTTTGGCTTATTGAAGTAGAGCTACCTATGGGAGTCGTAGTTCTTCCTGCGATTCGGGTTGATTTTCCTGCTTGTTGGCACTCTCCCTCAGGAGTCGTTACAGGCTTGGGTCGTGCCCACACAACAAGGCCGCTCATCAGCCTCTTGTACTTTGGCCTCGTCCTCTATTCCAGAGGGGCTAATGTAGCTCCCTAACTACCATAATATCTGAACGACTAGTAGGTGATCACCATCAGGGGTCAACCCAGGCTTAGTCCCTGTCATTCTTGAAGAAGGCCCTTCGATTTCGAGGGCGCAAAGCATAGCCCGAAACGACTGGTTACCAGATTCTATTTTTCTAGTGTTGTTTGACAAGTTTGAGAGCTGTCACAGGTAAGGGCATTGTGAAGTCACGAAGTCTGTCACCTCGTAGCATCTGCACGCTTTGCAGATCGTGTCCAGTTAACGCAGTTTCCATGACTTCGTCAATGTTGCAGTTACAAAGTAGAAGTGACAGTGGACAGCTTTGGTTCAGATCGCTGTAGGTGGAAAGGTATACGCTCACAGCGTCGTCGCGGATGTTCGCCGAAACGAACTTGAAAATGTGCACATGGAAGTGCGTGATCGGAGTCCACACTAGTGCTCCAAATTGAGCGGCGGTTTTGAACATAGTCTCTCCTACGATAACTGATCACGATGTGATTATCGATTGGCGTCCATCGCTGATTGAACACTGCTAGCTGCATTGCCACTCTACGACCGGTGCTCGCATGCAATAGTCATGCATCTTCATCATGTTGGTCCGCCCAGTTGTAGCTCATCATTCCAACTCGGAAAAATAGCTACATGGGCGCCATTGATTCGGAAGTACGCGCCAGTTAAGAGGCTTGTATGAGTTTCATCGTTGCGAGCCCATGCGTGGGATACGTACCTCCAGTTTCGGTTGATCTCCTCCGCATATTTTTACACGGAGTCCTAGTTAGTATTCCAATTCCCAAACAGTCTTGACAACTCATCTTGGGTGATTTCTTTAACTGCCTCCCATTGGAATTCATTGTTCGGATGTTTTGTGTCCAGTTTTCGATAAATGTGATGATGCAGCATTTTTGGTTGACGATAATCTGTCCGTTTGATCTGTAGTTAACAACCTGACACTATTCTTTGTTGTCCTTGAAGCCTGCGTCCAATTCCTGATGAGGCGTCAACGGGACCTGCATTTCAAATCGACATTGTTGAACGTTATTCATTCGCTCAAGTTCACACCGGCAAGCACAAATAGACGAAGTGTTGTGCTGCTTTGTGAATCAACCTTAGTGTTATTTGACAGACGGCCTGCACACAGTTGGCGTTGTGGGTCCTGATTATTTAAATCAGCTGTCCACTGAAGGGAGCGTTTCCTGATTCTCATCGTGAATTCCGTGTAATCTCACTACGTTCGGTTGCTTTCCGTTTTCATGTTGCTCTGCTTCCGCATAGTGAAACCTGCTGAAATTGGTTTATCTATGAGAATGAGTAGACCTGATGCTGAGTGGGCAATCTATTAAACGCATGGATGCGAGTGTCTCCGTGTGCGAAAGTGTAAAATCTGGCTGTTTTTTAATCGGATAAAATTTTATGGGATGATTGAATAATTCCAACGGTACCGTTACTATTTGTTGGATATATCTCTGATTATATTGGAGGCTGTTCGTTGGCTTTCTCCTTTAACGTTGTTTTTATTCCAAATTGTGTGTGACTGCGAAGCTTTTTTCTCGTTCCAGAGGAACGACGTCACCAATGCAGTCACTGTGGGAAAACCTTTCCTCTACCGGCCAGGCTCCGGGTCCACGTAAATTCGGTGCACTTGAGTGAGTGGAATGCATCGTTGGGCTTTAGCTATATTGTTGGACATTTGCCTTCACTTGCCTACTTCAACGGCAAACGGGTCACGCGGTCTTTCAATGTGATTCTTGGTGGTTCAACCACTGTTAAGGAGGACATGCTCTCTGCTGTTCTCTTTTACAGTGTTACGAAGCTATTGGTATTTATTTTCTCTCCACGTACCTGTTCCGTACATTAGATAACGTTGTATGAGGCCACCAATTAGCAATGCATTCCGTGAGCTATGAGATAATCTCCAGAGATTTTTGACTCTTGATCTTGTGCCTAATCTGGACCGGAAACTGATTGTGACCGAATTATCCGAATTATCCGCAATCATACTTGCAATTTGTGCTTGATGGGACTGGATGGCAAAAGGCAGACTCCCGTCTATCCAATTCTATAATGAGCACCTCGATCTTGAAGGATGTTGTCCGGCTTCCGGGGTCATCTAATAAGGTCTGTGACTTTAGTAAGTTTACTTTGGGATGGGCCGGTAATTGTGTTCCGGGTGCTTTATGACTCATGTGGATGCGGTGATGATGAATACTAATCGTGATCAGTTAATTTTCGGTGTGTGAGTTTCTTTCTCCCACTCTTAGCCTCCCCCTCCAACCATGATCTCACTATTTAGCCTTACATTATTTTGCATAGTAATTTTTAATGCACAATAGCCGGCTGGTAGCTTATCGGAGCGATGTCCATCCGTTACTGGTAGCTCAGCTGGCTTGCACCTGTTGCATTTTATTCCCTCTTGTTCTTTTAGGTATTGCGGCACGGTAGCTGAGGTGTTTCCCATCTCTGTCTAACGTGTATAATAATGATGATTGTGGTCAAAAAAGGTAATGATGCGAGCATTATGTACCACGTTAATTATCAAGACTTCAAGCAGCTATGGAACGAGGCTTGTTTGCCGACTTCTCAGGAACCTTTCTACCATGTGCAGGGAGGGTACTTGCATTTTTTTTGGAAATTGCATAACTCTTCTCGTTGCACACGGGGCTCGCTGTCAAATCGCCCCGATTCTTGCAGCTTTGCTGAACTAGCCTGTACATAAGATTTCTCTGGCTGCGATAGCCACAAAGGTGTGATTATTTCATGATTGCGCACTACGTCGAAGCCGTGCATGCACTTCATCATTGCGAGTACCATGCATTGTCCGTTTTAGGATGCGTGTCTCCACATTCGGTTGATTTCTTCCGCACGTACTGACAGAGTCCTTGTTTGAGGCGGTCTTGAACCATCGTCCAGGAACAATGTTTCAAGTTCATGATAGGGTTTAGGGTTCCGCCTTATGAGAATTTGCATTAATGTACGCATTTTTAAGTACCCACCTTTCTTCCTTGATGTTGGCCGTTTGGGTTGGACAATGCAGATGTAACAGAGCCTCGTGTATTTGAAGCAGTGCTGCGAAGCTCCTGCTCTTGCGAGAAATGGTGATTTAAGCGTCTTCAGTTTGGTTAACCTTTGTATAGAAGCTTGCATTCACACACACACTATACACGTTAGCTAGAGGTGGGAAACACCTCAGCTACTGTGCCGAAATACCTAAAAGAAAAGAAGGGAAGAGAATGCTACAGGTGCAAACCACCTGAGCTACCGGTAACGGATGGGCATCGTTCCGGTAAGTTGCTAGCCGGTTACTATGCAGCAAAAAGTAATTTCCCATACAAAGTTGTAAAATGTTAAATAATGAAATCGTGGTTGGAGAGGGAGGCTAAGAGGGATGGGGCGGGACAAAGAAACTCACAGCACGAACGCCACTGAGGTCGGCTCCTAGCCAAATCAACAAGTGTATCCAACCAAACGTGTTCATCGTCTTTCGCACCCCAATCAGGAAGCAGAGACGCTCCAACTGAGGCCATCTTCGTAGTGTGGGCCTTCATTCTTCTTGACCAACTCATCGCTTAGCTACCTCTCCTGTTCTTCCATCCACACCCCCGGCGCGTAAACAACACACGTCGCGGGAGTCGGTGGGCTGGCATACGTAACACATGTCCCAGCCATCGGAGCCTGGTGCGTGAAATAACGGTGCTGAGCGGTTCAGTTCCTTTAACTGTGCCGTAAACAAGGCGTCGAACACGCTCATTGTTAACTTGGCGTTCCCACCAGATGTGAGCCAAATTGCGAAGGCACCAATGGTCGAACGTACCGCTTCATTGTACACTCTACTCTTCAAGGCGAGAGTGATGTCGCACCGGCGCCATAAGTGGCGAAGTTTAGCAAAAGCGCCTTGAGCTTTTGCTATGCGGTTCGTGATCTCGTCCTCAATCCCACGGGCGCTGATACAACTTCACAGGTAGTTGAATTTCCGAACGACTTCTAGTTGATCTCCACCATGAGTCAGCGAAGGAGGCGGTCCAGGTCAATCTTGGAGGAACGCTTCTAACTTCGGGGGTGCGAAGCAAAGTCCGAAGCGACTGACAGCCAGTGCTACTCTGTCCAGGGCCGCTTGGCATGTCTAAGAGCTGTCCCAGATTAGGGCAATATCGTCAGCATACTCCAGGTCATGAAGTCGTTCTCCTGAGAGCAGATCCACACCTTCTAAGTCGTGTCCTTCGAACGTGATTTTCATTACTTCGTCAATAGCGAAGTTGAAGAGGAAAGGTGACAGCGGGCATCCTTGTCTCACACCGCTGGAGATATTAGAGGGCGACGACAGCTTGCTGTAAGCCCACACTCTGCCGGAACTACGCGCATTCAATGCTCGGATAATATTTACGTATTTCTCAGGCACACCTTTCCTGAGTAGACAGTCCCAAAGTGCACGTCTATCCACCGATTTGAATGCACTTTTGATATCGAGGAACACGACAACAGTGGGCCGCCAATATATGTGACGATGCTCCAACAACTGACGCAAAGTGAAGATGTGGTCAATGCAGCCACAACCTCGACGAAACCCGGCTTGCTCTTCACGAATATGGCTTACACGGGTGCCAGACAGTCTGTGAAGGATGACAGAGGCAAGGAATTTTGAGGCGTTGGAGGTCAAACTTATTTTTCTATGGCTGCCGCATTCCGATCGTGAGACTCCCTTGAAAATTGGGACTATGATGGAGCGGCTCCAGTCGGGTGGGACAGTTTCCTGCTCCCACAGTTTCACTAGTAACTCGTATAAATCACCCACCAAAGCAGGTCCCCCGATTTCGAAGAGGGCTGGAGGTAGATCATCTGGTATCGAGGCTTCATTTAATTTCAACAGTCCGATCTCACGTTCGACTTCCGAGCGAGAGGGTGGATCCAAAGGGACAGCCCACGGAACTGAGCGATCACTGGTCGGCGAGAAATCTAACAATTACGACCGATTAAATTGCCTTTCAAAGTGCTCAGCCCAACGCTCCATGCGTTTTGATAAGTTGTGAATAGGCTGTCCACTCTCGTCACGTATAGTTTCACTAACACTAGGTCTCCTACTGCCCGTTTCCCGTATCAGACTGCATAACTTACGATGGTTACCTAGGGCAGCGGCGACTTCCATCTCCTAAGCACGTTGAGACCACCAAGATTCGCGGTCTCTCTTCAGGCTAGCACGGAGTATTGTCCGGAGGTCTTTGCGAGTTTCATTGTGTTCGCTTCCAGCCGGAATATGCCGGCGAAAATCGATAAGTTCCAGAGACTGTGAAGAGACCCAATGTCCATGTTGGCGATTAGACATACCACATGAGGATTTGCCTGCTGCTAGTAAGGCCTGGTGAATATGAGACCAGTAAGCTTCAATTGCATCCGGTGAGCGCTTACTCCATTCGCATGAAAGCCTACTTTGATGGGCATTCAGAACAGCTGACTTCGCCAGTTGACTGGTGTAAATGCGCTCACAACGTCGTCGTGGGGGTCCGCCAAAGCGCATCCGCAGTTCAGCACACACAAGTGCATGGTCGGTGTCCACACATGTGCACCAAGTCGAGCGACAGTTCTGGAAGCAGTGTCTCCATCGGTAAATTCATCATCATCATCATCATCATCATCATTATACATGTCAGCTAGAGATGATAAAACACCTCCGCTATTGTACCGCAATACATAAAGGAAATACATACATACATACAATACATAAAGGAAAAATAAATACGACAGTTGAATGTCAGCTGAGCTACCAGCAACGGATACGCATCGTTCCGGTAAGCTACCAGCCAGCTACTAGGCAAAAAGAAAAATTTAATTACGTTTTACCCTACGAAATAAGATCGTAGATGGAGGGGGAGGCTAAAGGGATGGGGAGGGACAAAGAAACTCACAGCAGGAACGCCACTAAGGTCGGCTCCTTGCCATATCAGCAAGTGTATCCAGCCAAACGTGTTCACCGTCTTTTGGACCCCAACCAGGGAGCCGTGAAGCTCCAACTGAGGCCAGCTCAGAAGTGAGGGCCTTCATTCCTCTGGACCAAGTCATCGCTTGGCCACCTCTCCTCTTCTTCCACCCACATCCCCGGTGAGCAAACAACGCACGTCGAGGGAGTCGGTGGGCTGGCATGCGCAACACGTGGCCCAGCCATCGGAGCCTGGTGAGTGAAATGACGGTGCTGAGCGGTTCATTCCCTTTTCCTAGGCCGTAAACAAGGCGTCGAACACGCTCGTTACTCACGCGGTGTTCCCACCAGATGTGAGCCAAACTGCGAAGGCACCGATGGTCGAACGTAAGTAGCCTCTTCATATCCGCCGATCTTAGGGGCCAGGTTTCGCAACCGTACAGTAAGGTCGAACGTACCGCTGCATTGTACACTCTACCCTTCAGGGCGAGAGTAATGTCGCGCCGTCGCCATAGGTGGCGAAGGTTAGCAAAAGCACTTCGAGCTTTCGCTATGCGGTTCGTGATCTCGTCTTCGATCCCAAGGGCGCTGATACAACTTCCCAGGTAATTGAATTTCTGAACGACTTCTAGCTGATCCCCACCAAGGGTCAGCACAGGGGGCGAACCCTGCCAATCCTGGAGGAACGCTTTGCACTTCGGTGGTGCAAAGCCCGAAGCGACTGACAGCCAGTGCTAATCTGTCCAGCGCGGCTTGACACGTCTGGGAGCTGTCACAGATGAGGGCAATGTCGTCTGCATACTCTAAGTCAAGAAGTCGTTCTCCTGGGAGTAGCTCCACACCTTCCAAGTCATGTCCTGTAAATGCAGTCTCCATGACTTCGTCAATAGCGAAGTTGAATAGGAAAGGTGACAGCGGGCATCCTTGTCTCACACCGCTGGAGATATTGAAGGGTGGCGACAGCCTGCTGTAAGCCCTTACTCTGCCCGTGCTACGCGCATATAATGCTTGGATAATATGTACATATTTCTCGGGCACACTTTTCCTGAGTAGACAATTCCAAAGGGCACATCGATCAACCGAATCGAAAGCACCTTTGATGTCGAGGAACACGACTACGGTGGGCCGCCAATATGTGTGACGGTGCTCCAACAACTGACGCAAGGTGAAGATGTGGTCGATGCAGCCACGACCCCGACGAAACCCGGCTTGCTCCTCACGAATCTGGCTTTCACGAGCGCCAGTCAGTCTGTGGAGAATTATGGAGGCGAGTAATTTGGAGGCGATGGAGATCAGACTGATTCCTCTATAGTTGCCGCATTCCGAGCGCGAGCCGTCTTTGAAGATGGGAACAATAACGGAGCGGCTCCAGTCGGTTGGGACAGTCTCCTGCTCCCACAGTTTCACTAGTAATTCATGCAAAGCATCAACAAGAGCAGAGCCTCCAAATTTGAAGAGGGCTGAAGGAAGATCATCTGGTCCCGCGGCTTTGTTCAACTTCAACAGTCCGATCTCACGTTCGACTTCCGAGCGAGAGGGTGGATCCAAAGGGACAGCCCACGGAGCGGGGCGATCAGTGACCGGCGAATCGAACAATTCTTGCCGATTAAATTGCTTTTCAAAATGCTCAGCCCAACGCTCCAAACGTTTTGACAAATTGTGGATAGGCTGTCCACTCTCGTCACGTATAGTTTCACTAACACCAGGTCTCCTGCTGCCCGTTTCCCGTATCAGACGGAATAACTTACGATGGTTGCCAAGGGCAGCGGCCACTTCCATCTCTGACGCACGATGAGACCACTAAGATTCGCGGTCTCTCTTCAGGCTAGCACGGAGTTTTGCCCGGAGCTCTTTGCGAGTTTCATTGTGCTCGCTTCCAGCCGGGATTTGCGGCGAGCATCTATAAGTTCCAGAAACTGCGAAGAGACCCAATGTCCATGTTGTCTATTAGACATACCACATGAGGATTTGCCCGCTGCTAGTAAGGTCTGGCGAACATGTGACCAGTGACCATCAATTGTCTCCTGTGAGAGCTTGCTCAACTCGCATGTTAGCGTACTTCGATACGCATTCAGAACAGCTGGTTTTGTCAGTTGGCTGGTGTCAATACGCTCACAGCGTCGTCGTGGGGGTCCGCCAAAACGCATCCGCATGTCAGCACATACAAGTGCATGATCGGTGTCCACACATGTGCTCCAAATCGAGCGACAATTCTGGATGCAGCCTCTCCAGCGGTAAATTATCGCAACGTGATCGATTTTCGTCCATAACTGGTTCGAGGGTGCGTGGCGCCAAGTCACCCTCCGGCGGGTGCTGTTTCGGGAATTAGTACTCGCAAGAAATAAGCGAGCATCTTTACACAAATGAAGCAGTCGCTCACCGTTATCATTACGGGAGCATACCCCGGGTTGGCCACCTAGATGCAGTTCATCAGTGGATAATTTTCCAACTTGTGCGTTCAGATCCTCATCTAGCACAACAGTGTCCGATGTTCTTCTGTGGCGAAGGAGCTCGTTCACTTGGCGAAAGAAGTCGTCTTTTACCGAATCATTGCTAGAATGTGTGGGTGCATAGGCAGCGATGATGAATAGACACCTGTTAGTCCCGCATGACTTCGAAGCTTTGAACGAGCCAGCCAATCGGACGGCACACAACCGGCTGCTGAGCGGAGTACAATCAAGCAGAGCCCGCTTCGGCCCGGAGACTCAAGACAGTACCACCACAGGCTTGGCCGCTGCTCGAAGCTGCATCGTCACCGGATAGGCGCAATGAGAAAGTGCTGCTGGTGTCACCTGAAGGGGATCGCAAAGTAAACACAGAGCTCGAGTCTTGCAGGCGGGTCTCTTATAAGCAGCAGATATCGATCGAGGGAGTCCCTAGTGTTCGGGTAAGTGCTACCTGTTTCTGAAATGATGACTTCCCGATCGGTTCCAAATATGTTCTAATATATTGAGTACCTGTTGACCGGTCTGTAGGAATGTGCGTACATTGAGGCATGCCAATCTGAAGGATGATCGAAGGCTCCAAATGGAAGTTGATGAACTGGGCTTGCTCGCCTGATTAGACATGGGCTTGTCGACAGAGCAGGAATGACGCTCCGCGTTCACATGTGAGTTGAAACTAGAAGGTAAGAGCCTAGCAAAGCATGGTGAGGGAGGGCCGAGAATTGGTGGTTGAACACTGGGGGGATAAAAGTGAAGCTGGATGGGGACGGTAAGAATAAAAAATCGTAAATGGGGGAATAAGAAGATGGGAATGCGTGAGCAGCAGTATCGAAACCCATATTCACCCTGCCCGATGCAGCAGATGGGGCACCGTTGATTATCCTCTGCAGTGGCTAGTGCATCAGAAATTTGTTTGAAGAGAGATTCGTTGTATTGCGTGGGCAAGATACTGTCTGGTTGTTCAGGCCTAGACAGGAGAACGATTAGGGTTCTCAGCCAAAGCCTCTGGCTCAAATCCTAACCGCAAGGCAGCGGGTTTGGCGTAGGGCTACAAGCAGTCCGTTTTAAGGAATAAGGAGCCGCCTCATTCCAACCCTCTACCCGGAGGACCAGGAGGCTGAGTTTGTCTGGCCTCTAAGGATTTATCATTCTGGCATGAATATCTCTAAAGGTGCAAAAAAACACCACCCAGCATAATTCACTGGATCGCTGGGGCGTACAAACCATCGCACCACGGGAGGTCCAGCCTCATTGCGGTGGTTTGTGTCCAACAGCTAGCCATGTTTGCAAGTCAACCCTCAACATCTTCGCTCGTGATTTCTTTCCGACATTTGAATAGAGAACTTCCTCAGAGACGGTGGTATGGCTGTTTTCTCTTATCGATCCGAACCTAATGCGTTTGCATCCTCTGAAATTGATTCCACTCGTGGATCTGGTGATGAGTGGGATACGTGCTTCCAGTTTCGATTGATGTCCTCTGCATATTTTTACACGGATTCCTAATTGGTGTAAAGAATACTAAGTAATGTGCCTGCTGTACACTGTAAAGCCGCTTCGCTTCCGCGAGTACACCCGCCCCCACGCGGATTCGAACCGGTGACTTTGCAAGCTGGTCGTGCAGACCACTCGGCCACCGGCGCACCCTTGTTAGTGCTCGTAATTCCAATTAGCCTTCGTAACTCTTTTCGCGGGATTTCTTTAGCTCTATCTTCCATTGAAATTCATTGTTCGGTGAGAAACCCTTTATGTTCTTTTGTGTCCGGTTTTCTATAGTTCTATTTATGCGGCATTTTCGTTTGACGATATTCTGTTCGTTTGCTCTCTAGCTAACAACATAACACTAGTCTTTGTTGTCCTTGATGCTTGCGTCCAACTTCTGATGGGGGTGTCAACGTGACCTGCATTTCAAATCGACATTATTGAACCTTATTTATTAGGTCCGCCTCACACCGTCAATCACAATTGGACGGTGTCTTGTGCTACTTCGTGAATCAACCTTAGTCTAATTTATCCAACGGCGTGCACACAGTTGGCGTTGTCGGTCCTGATTATTTAAATCAGCTGGCCACTGAAGGCAGCTTTCCCTGATTCGTGACTTCCGTCTATTCTTCCTACTTGCGACGCCTTTCCGTTGTCTTGTTGCCCTGCTTTCGCATTGTGAAACCTACCTTAATTGACTTATCCATTTGAATGAGTGGTTTTGCCATTAAGCGGAAAATCTATAAGTTACATGGATGCGAGTGTCGCCATGTGCAAAAGTCTACAATCTACCTGATTTTCAATCATAGATAAAATATCATGAAGTGTTTGAATAATTCAAACGGAACCGTTATTATATGTGGGACCCGTTTCTGATTATATTTGCGGCAATCCATTAGGTTTTCCTTTATCGTTGTTTTTGTTTCGTGTTGTGTATAACTGCCAAGTTTTTTGCTCGTTCCAGGGGTGCGACCTCACCGATGCAGGCACTGTGAGAAAACCTTTCCTATACCGGCCAGGCTCCGGGTCCACGTAAATTCTGTCCATTTGAGTGAGTGGAATGTTTGATGCATTGTTGGGTTTTGACATTTTTATTTTCGGCATTTGCCTTCACTCGCCTTTGACAGCAAACGAGTCACACTGTCCTTAGTGCGATTCTTGGTTGTCCAACTGCTGTTGACGTGGGCATGCTGGCTGCTGTTCTCCCTTACAGTGTTAAGAAGCTATTGATGTTTATTTTCTCTCCACATTATGTTCCGTACGTTAGCTAACCTTGAATGACGGCATAAATTAGTAACGCATTCTGGGACCTATGTTGTAGTTTATAACGACGACTGAGTCGTGATCTGAAGCCCATTCTGTACCGAACACCGATTTTTATATGAGTATTCAATATCGCTGTGTCAGAGATACTGAATTAACCGCGTTCATACTTGCAATGTGTGTCTAATGATACTGGACAGCGTAGAGCAGACGTGGGTCTATCCAATTCAGTATTGAACGGCTCGATCTTGAAGAGTGTTGTCCGGCTTCCAGGGTCATCTAATGTGCTCTGCGACTTTCGAATGTTTACGTGGGAATTGGCCAGTACTTGTGTCCTTGGTGCTTTATAACTCTTGCGGACGCACTGATCATGATTACTAGAGGTGATCAGACATTTGTCAGTGCTTGTCTTTGAGTTATCTCTCTCCACTCAGTAATTTTGGTGTTCACATTAAAGTGCTCAACACTGGGCCTACTGATGCACATGTCTATGTGCATAACGCAATGTACTTTGTGTTTTCACTAAACCACACAAACTGGATGCTAAGCAACCCGATAAGGACATTTCCATCACTTTTCGATTGAACTTATCGCGGAGTGCCCAATACTGAAGGATGTCATTGGAATAGTATGTCGAAGTGGAAGTCTGGATCGTAGGGACGAACAAGATAGCCAACTGATTGCGTACCGCACACACTGTGCGTTTGGCCGCACCCGGCATAGTCGCCTTCCCGCGCGACGGCTGCGATTGAATTGTTTACCGAATATGTGTATTGTTCCATTCTGTGCTCTTTGATTGTTGGGCACCAAATCTCATGCATGGTGCTGACATATAGCTGTTTTTGCCGACGCATACCTAGCCATCATCTTCCTCTCTCGTGCTTCAAACTGCACATTCACTGTGAGTCGTTGTTTCGTGTTTCGGATCCTCGAACTTGGCAGCCGTCATTACGTGCTGAGTATGCCGCACTTATAACAAACTCCCTGTACCACAACAGATTTTTTTGGTGTGGTTCTCCAGTAAACAATGAGTTCCTGTTTCTTTATTCAGAGCAACGCCCTTATGCATGTGAATATTGTGGCCTGTCGTTTACGGCGAGGGGCAATGTGCAAAGACATATCAGAATCGTTCATTCGAGTGAGTGCATAATTTGATTTTCTGACATACGTTGTAGCATCACTGAGTAATTCGCTGGGTTTCGGTGCCAGTAATGCTGTTGCCACTGCTGGCTCCATTTGCTCTTGTCTTCACATCATCCAGAGGCATCTTTATTCGCTTCAAGTTTACTTTGCCTAACTTGTAAACTAATGCGATGGTGCGCGTGTGAATGCGTTAGATCATTTGACTGATCGCTTTACTCTCTGCTGGGTCATATACTGTCCGAATTTGTCCAGGTACGCTTTGCGGTAAATCCCAGTATTGGTTTAGGTCGCATGTCCCCTCATGTTGGTTACTCCAGACATCATCAACAGCAGTACATCAGTAATTTGAGCTAATACTTCGCTGACACACAGTCACAATTACCCACGTGACGATGAATAAAAGTCTGAGAGAAGGTTTGCCTATCGTAAAATTTTGGTGTAGCTTTACTGAACCAGCCTGTAAATTGAATTTTTCTGGCTGCGATAGCCTCAAGGGTATTGTTGTTTCTGAGCTGCCCGCTAATTCGAAGCCGTGCATGCACTTTCTCATTGCGCGTACTATGCATTGTCCGTTTTGCGATGCGTGTCTTCACTTGCGGTTGATTTCTTCCACGTACTGATGGAATCCGTGTTTGATGCGAATGTTTTGCTACGAAAACTCAACGTGATTCATCTTTTTTAGATGTTACCATTGGGATGTATTTGAATCGGGGGATAAATATCAACATACAAGCGATGCTTTAGTGCACTCGTTTTGTGGACGGGACGAAATTCTTGCTCCGGGTGTTAGTAGAATGTTCTGATGTCCACGCAGAAGCCGACTCACAAGCGATTGACGTGGAACTTGAATGAGGCGCGAGACCTCCCTATCGGATATAGAATCCATGTTACACCACTAGTATGATCAAGTAGTCATTGCACTTTCTGATCAGAGGTACAATGTCTACATGGCGCGGATCACGAACGCTGTCTTATGGAGGGTGGAAAATCTCTAGATTTCTGCCACAAGTGCTAATGTCGGTGTAAAAACTGAGGATGAGCGGTTTATGTGTATCCCACCATAGGGTTAATCATTTCGTACGCTTTTTAGATGATGCTCTCTTTTTGCGTCTCATCACGTCATTTGTACTCAACAGCGGGCCATAGTTGCCAATTATACCTCAAGCTCTTCATTCACTGGTTATTTCTTTCTAACATTCGAATGAAGGACCGCAGCAGAAATCTTGTAATATCTGTTTTGTCTGTCCGAGCGGAACCTACTCCTTTTGCACCAACTAGAAATAATTCCTCCCGTGGATCTGGTGGACTGAAAGTTACGATTGCTTTTGCACGTAAGTTGTCCATTACGATAGCTGCAAATTAAGTATAGACGAGTGGTAGAGCAGCAGTCTAATGGACGTCGTTGCACAGAACAGCGCGTCTTCGTGTTCAGCCACACGTTTCTCTCGGTTAATTGTCTGGATGGCCACACGGCTTGATGATCTGAGTTATATTTTACAGACGGTGTGATATCGTCTATGGGGGTGAAACGCAACCATCGTGCCAGTCCACTGCAGCTCTGAAAACGGAGCTGCGACGTTTCTTATATCGTAATTATTCACTACATAGTATGACAAATCATCCTCTGTACCTCAGCAACTTTTCCGTTGTGGTTATCCGGTAGACAATGAGTTCCTGTAATTTTATTCAGAGCAACGCCCCTTTGCATGTGATAATTGTGGCCTATCGTTTTCGGAGAAGTGCACTATGCGAAGACATATCAGAACCGTTCATTCGAGTGAGTGCATAATTTGCCTTTTGGTATCGCTGAACTAATTCGCTTGTCTTCGGTGCTCTCAACGGTGTAGTCTGTGCCGGCTCCATTTGCTGTTGTCTGTTCATCATCCGGAGGCATCTTTGTCTGCCTAAAGTTTAATTTGCGTAACTTGCGAACTAACGTGATTGTGCACGAAGGAATGTATTAGATCATTTGACTCTGGTGGGCTAGTCTTTGACTTCAGATACGGTTCGACTTTGTCGAGGTTCGCTTCGCGGGGAATCACAGTCTAGGTTTATATTGCATGTCCACACACGACGGATTATCCTGACAGCAGTACATCAGTAATTTGAATTGACGCTTCGCTGACAAACAATCACAATGACCCTTGTAACGATGAATAATAAGTGAGAGTTGGTAGACCTAGCGTAAAACTCTAATGCCTATGCAAATCTACACGGTCAAGGCGCCTACGCCTTTTTAACAGAATAACGTCACAAACGGCTGGTTATCTAATGGAGATCTGGCGATATCGACGAGAGCTTTCTTTTGTTTGTTACTGCCCTGCGTCATAATCAGCCGTTTTACCACAGCTAACTCCGATGCCACATATTAGCTGGTCAGCCACAGTTCTGTACAATGGTAGGAATTTGCATGGTTGTGTAGAGTAGGTTACGCTATTTCCCTGAAAGGTAGCAAGTTCAGACGATCTGCCTTCGTCGGTTATGACTCAGTGGCATAAGCTATTGGCTTGTTAGCGTTAGCTGCTTGCGGCCATTGATTGGAGTCCTGCAGGAGACCGGAGGAATGCGCACTATTGACGTGTTCCAATAGAGTAGAGCGATTGTCTGGTGCATTTCCGGACTAAGGTTTGTCTATCTGGCATGCTCGATTGTTCCATCCCTTGAGCGTTCTAGCATCGGATTGTTTCGTTTGCTTCTTACATTAAGACGAACGAATCCCACTGGTTCATATGCACGGAGTGTTTGCTAGCTGATGGCAACGCTAGTTGTGCGACTGAGTAGAACGGATGGTGGTTCCACATTGCGCTCCTCACCCCACGACACCGGCTTGCTGAAACCGGTACTGGTGTATTACTAGCAGTTTCTCTTTTCTTTTTAAGTAGTGTGTGAATATTATTCCTCTACCATCTTATTGTCGTCCGTCATGTCGACGTTTTCTCCTCCTTTCTCTGCTTCCAGTTGTAGCCAGCTTTCATGATTTGGTGCATTGTTGTTTTGTCAGTGCATTTGTGCGACGATGAATTGTGAATGCCTTACTACCGAAGCACATTCACTGATTAATTTCCGTTGCAGACGAGCGACCACATAACTGCAGCTACTGTGGTAAATCTTTTTCACAAGCAAGCAATCTGAAGATGCACATCCGTACTGTACATTTGAGTACGTTTTCTATTGGTTGCGCGATTTGACTTTGTTCCTGTTTATTTCTTGCTATTATCATTCAAATCCCAACTGCACATTTTTGTTACATGTCACCATGCAGTCTGCTCTCCTTGATTAACATTTTGCTTAAGGCTTAGGAGATGTATGCAGAGAAGGTTAATGATGCTCATACCCCAAATGCTGTTTAGCTGAGCCCCGAGAAACTCGTCAGTAGCTCGTGTTGACCTCTGGTTTTGATGTGGATTTTAGCGTTCGGTTTCAGATGGGGTCACAGTTCGCTTTGACTTAACGTCTGCCATAAGTGCTACTTCTTCATTCGTTTTTCTTTTGCGGCGCTTCGTCCTCGATTAAGGAGGTAGATGCCGCTGGCGATTTCGCGGCGGATGTGAGTGATACATCCCTTAGGATCAAGTGCGTCTTTTCCTGTTGGTTCCTATAACATTCGCACTCTGGGTCAGCTCAATCAGCACACAGCGACAACTCTGACTCTTTAGTGTCTTGCAGATGTCCGTTTTCACACCGAAACACATGCTGACTCGCAGCTTTCTACCGGATTTCGCACCAACTGGATTGGTTTACTTTCGAAGCGTGTTGTTCAGCTGCAGGGTTAACCTACTTTGATCTGGGACCTGGTAGTGTTTACGTTTGCGTAGGTACGTAATTGTGTGCTGCGTCCTTTATGACTTGTGGGGACGCAGTGATGATGAATGATAGTGATGATCAGATAATTTTCCGTGCTTACCGGTGAGTTGTCTTTCCCGAATCAGTAATTATGGTACCCATATCACAATTACTGACTGAGAAAGACAACTCACCGATAAGCACGGCCCGTAGCGTCGGCGCCCAGTCTTGAGATAACGAGCTTGTCTCGTAATCTTGCGGCGCGTGTTCCAATCCGCGTAGGGGTGCGGGTCCTCCCGGTTTACTCAGCCCGCGTGCGACTGTTGGTGGTCGCACGGCAGCGAAGCGCCGTTACGGCGTACAGCTGATACATTATTATTTTTATGTTATTATTAATTATGGTACCCCATTTAAAGTGTTAAGATCCCGACCTAATGCTGCACGTGCCTTTGTGCATAACGGAAAGCATTCTTTCTTCAACGGTAATCCACTGCACACTAGCTGAATGCTCACATGGCCCTCCGATACAAAAAGCGATGAAACATTTGTATCAGCTGCCTGATGAACTTCAGGCGGGCACTGTGTTTTGTTGATGACCTCAATTGCAATTTTAACCTCATTTTGTTGCTTTTTGCAACCGCTGCTGTAATATTATTACCCGCGATCATCCAGTGTTTTGTTGAATGTATCTTGGCAAACTCAGGGATGCACTTTTAACGCTTGTTGTCGACGTCGCGTGAGAGATACTGCACCAATTTGGGACTCTCGTGTCCGAACTACACGTTGCCCACTACACTTCCTCTGTGGCCAGTGTATTCCAACGACTGGCACTTGCCGCGACGTGTGTTCACAGACTACTGGTCGCGCACTTCCAAACGCGTTACGTGTTCAGCACCTTTTTAATTTCGCTCAGCGAAACATTCAAGGTCATTCGGTTGATCGCTTTACCTAGCGCCGCTTCGAGGATACTTGCCCACTAATCTTCTAAGTTGGGTGTCATTTCGTGTCTTGTTGCACCTCAGTATAGTGTCATTCTGAATCAACCGGTCATTTTTTTCAGCTGGGGTGTCCGTGATGGTCACTTAAAAATTCGTGCTACACGGTGTGTGCGGTTGACGGTAGTGCTAATGTCGGGAGTCACAAGTGAACTCGTAGATTTCGTTGTTCAGGTTACTGCGCTTATTCATGTAAGCTTTGCAGCATTGTGGTCGTTTTTAGTGTTAGTTTTCGTGCCTTAACTATGGGGGAGGGCACTAGTAACCTATTTTGTGGTGGATCACACTGCTAGTTGTCCGAGCACTATCATTGGCGTTGTTGTCGAGTATTGATTATTGCTACACCCAGAGACACGTTCTGTAGTGTTTACTCGGAACCTAACGCGATTGATCTATTTTGGCACTCAGGATGTCCGATTGGCTCACTCTACGGTCGATAGAGTTGATCGAGAATGTTAGTTGCACAGTTAGTTTCTCATCAGCTGTTCCCTATGTTTTACGAAGTGCACGTATTTTGCGCAGCAGCGATGTGCAATGAAGGTATCTGTGAGACTTGATAGATCACCTTCAGGATTCTATGGTGTAAAAGCATATGGTAAGATGTACTATCAATGTACAAATGTTTTTGTGGCAGGAAATATCGGAAGACGATATAGGAGACCAAGCAACAACATTGCACAGACATCGCTTTTAGGTCGCACAGTTTGGACAGTGCGGATCTAGTGAATGCGACTTTCTAATCTGACTGACTTCTGAGATTGGTATCAGATTGAAGTGCATTGTGCATGAAGTGGTCAAAAATGTTCCCGATGCGAGATATTTGTGCACCTTAAGTTCCCACGATTTCAAGCAGCTATGAAACTGAAGCGCATGTGTCGACTTCTCAGGAAATTTTCTACCATGTGAGGAGATAACTTGGCATTTTTGGGAAAATGTTTTCGATCTTCTCATCGCACACGTTACTCACCGTCAGATGATCTAGATTAGTGTAGCTTTTCTGAACGAGCCTATAAATTGGATTTTTCTGGCTGCGATAGCCACAATGGTGTGGTTGTTTCTGAAATGCACACTACTTCGAAGCCATGCATGCACTTCCTCATTGCGCGTACTATGTATTGTCCGTTTTAGGATGTGTGTCTCCACATTCGGTTGATTTCTTCCACCTACTGACAGAGTCCTTGTTTGATGCGAATGTTTTGCTACGAAAACTCAACGTGATTCATCTTTTTTAGATGTTACTATTGGGATGTATTTGAATCGGCGGATAAATATCAACATACAAGCGATGCTTCAATGCAATCATTTTGTGGACGAGACGAAATTCTTGCTCCGGGTGTTAGTAGAATGTTCTGATGTCCATGCAGAAGCCGACTTAGAAACGATTGACGTGTAACTTGAATAAGGCCTGAGACCTCCCTATCGGATATACAATCCATGTTGCACCACTAGTATGATCAAGTGGCCCGGATCACGAAAGCTGTCTTATGCAGGGTGGAAAAGCCTTAGCTTTCTGTCATTAAAAGCGCATGTCGGTGAAGGAAATGTGGTTGAGCTGTTTATGTGTATCTCATCATAGAGTAAATCATTTCGTACGCTTTTTAGATGATGCTCTCTTTTCACGTCTGATCACAAGTCGATTGTACCCAACATCAGGCCGTAGTTGCAAAATCCCTCAACATCTTCACTCACTGCTTATGTCTTCCTAACATTTGAATGAGTGACCACCGCAGAAATCTTGTAATGTCTGTTTTGTCTTATCGAGCCAAACCCATTCCGTTTGCACCAAATGGAATTAATTCCAACCGTGGATCTGGCGAATCGAAAGTTGCGATTTGCTTTGTAGGTAATTTGTCCATTACGATCGCTGCAAATGATTAGTGGAAGATTGTGCAGTCGTCTAATGGACGTCTTCGTGTTCAGTCAAACAGTGCTCTCGCTTAATTGTCTGAATGGCCACACAGATTGGAGGATCTGAATTATCGTTTACAAACGATGCGATGTTGTCTACGGGGTTGAAATGCAACCATACATATGGATTCAGCTTGCCAGCTCACTGCCGGTACGAAAACGGAGCTGCGAGTTTTATTGTATCCGAACGACTCATTTCTACAAAAACGATTTTCGGAACATCGTGATCTAGCTTGACCAAACACCGTAGAGAGGCACCTTGTTCTTCAGTAAAAAGCTACAGCTGCGCGAAATATCAGTCCGCTAAGCCTTCGAAGTAACAACGGCGCCGACCTCGACTTTACACACACGTACTAATTTCCGCACAGGATTCCAGGCGTATTAGAACGCACAAACCTGAATATAGCACACTAAACAGCACTGCACCTACTGGATCTACACGCAGTTAATAAACAACCTTCTAACTCATATCGAAATACCAACCGAAAACAGGACAATCTCGTGAGCCTCATCTACAAGTAAAACACTACCTAAAGTTTCTATGTGCGTCGTAACAGTGTCCCCATCCGGTATAGAGAATCCCGAGTCGAAATTTTATGTTTAAGTTTTACAATTAATAAGGAAGCTCACCTCAGCAAATTCCGTCATAAATTCATTCTATGATATCCTAACCAAAAAGTGTGCATCTCCTACTACATCATCTGATAATGTTCAGCTTTCAAGGGCAATACAATGGCACGCACCAGATTCTGGGTGTGACTCATCCCCCTGGGGGAAGTTATCCGTTTCGGGACAACAAGTGAACCCGACTCTGTTAAAAAATCTATCGTCTACACTCCCATTCCGCAGCTTTTTCCACACAAAATTTGGTAACACGTTAATACAATAGATATTGCATCCAGCGATAGAACTATGGCAACTTCGAGTACCTCACCTCCTCTACAAAATCACATCTCATCAACTACCTCAGTTACCCATTTGTGACTCGTCGCTGTTTTCTCCCATGCAACGATATCAATATCTTTTAGCAATGAATACTTTTAAGACATCATATTTTCCAACGTTCCCCGCAACCACAGGGATTTGCACCCATAAAACTGACGAATTAACAAGGATTTATTTGCTAGAACATCTACTTCTTTGGAACCAGTATATCCTAAAGATCACCAAGGCACAAATGCCTCATTACGGCACACAACCCATGACAATCTTCGCATCCAGTTTCATTTGACTCTTCCAACACCTTCTATTTCGGTACCTTTCGTCCATCCTATTACCACAAACACGTCTTCTCTCTTACCCAAATCTCATCCGCCTGCAACTTCCGCCTTTATTTACGCTCCTCATTTTGTTTTTAACACTGAGAGATGGTGCAACTCAGATATAAGTGACTCTCAGCTTAATGTTATTGGCCCTCATCTGTTCTGAGAAAGCCGTGTGAGTAAAAGCGGCGGCGGATGCGCCCTGTACATTCGGACCGATATCACTATGACCGTCGTCAGTTAACTGGCCCCCAACTAGCCAGATTATTCTCTACGGTCGGCATTCTCCTCCAGTGATCTTTTACTGGGTTGTATTCCTAAATCTTCTTGGGCTGTCCTCCATCGAACTGAACAGTTGGGTTATGCTGTTAATGCTACTTTCTACGCAATGGGTAAACACCTTTACCTATATCTGTCATACAGGTACTGCCCGAAAGCATTCCAGCATTACTGTGAATGCATGAGACTACTGAATCTGGAACATCCGGTGCAATAAGCAGTCACCGAAGCAAACAAGACCCTAACATAGCAACCACATTGATACAGTTGCTTAAACGAGGAATCCAAGACATTACCATGAACTTTAAAACGTGGCTTTAGAAGATTGCATGTGAAGCACTAAATCGTTACTATGTCACCTCCTTCGATACTGGAAACAGGATATTTCATCCTCCGTTTCAAAGGAAAACGGATGAAATACTTAACCATCATCATATCCCTGAGCGAGGTGCTGGAGAGTAGTATAGTTTCTATACACCCTCATTTCAGCTGCGCCCGATGGTATTCCTCCGTCTTTTAGACGGTTTAGAAGCAAAACCATGTCTTTAAAGTTGTTAAACGCTTTTATCTTTACATGATGACTAGATCCATCCACAGTGGAATACCAGAGCACGAATTCGGTTCACCTGCAGCAACGTCAAACTATCGCCTTATTATACTGTGGCCGCTTCTAATGCCTTGAAGCGAATGGTTAAGATTGGCTTCCTCCAAGTGCTAACACGACTATATTTTTTAAACGGCACGCAACACAGCCTTTATACAAGGCGATTCGGTGTGACATGGCACGAACATTTCTTTGACTACATAACGTCGGTCGCTTGCACTGTCATATGAGTTATCGTCATCCTAGTGAACATTCAAAAGGTCTTCTATCGCGTGCTACACAGGGCGATGCTTTCCGTCCAAATCTCTTACGGAATCAGCAACCAACTGCTAAGCTGGTTCAAATCTTACCTAAACTACGGGTCACAATGAGTTGGAATCCATCAGAATTCCCCCACTCCAATAGAATTCAGGAGTGGCGTTCTCCAAGGAATTTTCTCGATCCACTACTCTGTCTGAATGACATGTGATTCCATAAAACGCTGACGATCTCACGTAGTTGTCGATGATAGCCAACTTGTTCACTCATTTCCACCTGATAATCTCTTATTTAGCCTCAGGAATATACATATGAATGTGTGGTCACAGGTTTCCTAGAGTAAAATATAGTCTATGAACTTTTCCACCGAAAAACCGCAAGCGTTTTGGTCTAACTCCTGCATATCAGATGGCTCCATCACTCTTGCTCGTACACATATTTGAACGAATGACTAATGTCATCAACAGAACTCATGCAACCCTCTCTCCTGCCACAGGGATGGCCGATTGAGTAAGTGTTATATTCTACAATATGGTTTTCGAACCCCTGCGTCTAGTCGTTGAGCAGCGATTCGGTAGTCATAATACTTTGGAGCCTCAAGCGATGTACACAACTTGGTGAATGAACTGCATGTTATTGTTAAGAGTGAGGTATGCAATCAGAAACATTGCAATGCTTTCGTGTGAATGTGCTCAACCTAAGCTTTGCTTACATATGGAAATTTCAGAACCGTTAGAGCTGCCGACTCAGGCTGCTGTGATCTCGCAGCCAGAAGTAGACTCAAATGAATGGTGTAGGCGCGTAAGGGTGATGCAGTCGGCACATTGTGCACCGAGGGCAAGTTCCCAGGGTAGCGAACAGCATCATTCGGTCTGTAGGCATTGTTCTAGCTAGGCGAATCTCGAGTGTAACCGTGAAACCACTGATTTCAAGTATATTTGGTAAATACCAGTTTAGCGCCCATACATCCGCCGTTAGTTAAGGGTTGTGTGAAAGAAGCGTGTGGTGGTAAGATGCTTTAACGAAAACGTGTACCCTATGTTTCGATAGGACATTTAGGCTTTACTTCCAAGTACGCTGTATTAGGGAATCAAGCGCACACAAGGCGGTGGCTGGACCATGGTCCACTCCACACTGAGTTCATGGAACCACTCTTCGAGCCTAACACGGCCACAAGGGCCGTGCACCCCGTCCCCTCTAGCAACGATCAAATGTCACCTGGAGCCAGTATGGACGAGGTAGTGGGTAATAGGGTTCTTGTCAACATACACATCAAGCGCAACCACACTGGGAATATCAACCAACATCCAATCACTTGGAACGACAATTTCAAATAAAATAAATCGATTAATACATAAGGATATGCTGACATAGTTCTTTAATAAATGAACATATGGACTAAATTGGTTGCCAAAATATCCGCTATAGTTTCAAGTATATTTTAAGAGAATCTCACAAACGCGGAAATGTTGTCAAAGTTAACTACATTTAACTTAAGGAAGGTGTGCAAGTTAATACAAGATGATTCACGTAACCAATAATGAGACAATATAGCAAAACCCCCCACCTGCAATAAAGAGACGCAGCATATAAGCAAGTGGTTAGTAAATCGAATGCAGCGTAACTACAAACGTTGAGCCGGTTCTGCCTATGTTCACCGCAGGACTTGACGTCGTTTCGGTGTTAGCCCCGAGTGGCCGCCCTCATGACTCGTTAGGCCTGCCTGACTCAGGCACTCGCGACTGCATATGCTACAGCACCATGCGCTCGATGTCGATGGATTGCAACCCATAGGCGCCTGCCGCTTCTTCTCCGCATGCATAAGGTTTTTCTCCTGCACCTCGACAACGGCCTTCGTGATCAGATCACGCCATGCACGCCGATCAACCCCCTTCGATTCCCATGACCTGCAATCAAGATTAGAACGTGAGAGGCTCACTTTGATCACGTCCTGGTAACGAAGCTTCGGTTTCCCCACATGCCGCTTCCCAATACTCAGCTGCCTACAAACTAATTGTTTCGGTATCCGCGTCGAATTCATACGGCTCACATGACGGAGCCACCTCAGGTGTCTCAACAAAA